GTGTGTGTGTGTGTGTGTGTGTGTGTGTGTGTGTGTGTATGTGTGCGTGTGTGAGTGAGTTAATTGTGGAAACTTTACAGGGAGCTTCAAAGTGCTGCCCCTCTTTGTCTAAGTTGTGAAAGCTCAGTAAAGTGTCAGACTGATGCTGGGTATTACCTGACAGGGGCGCCCCGGCTCTGAGCCGGTTTCAGCAGGACCGTGACAGTGGAGTCAGTCTGGTTCAGAGGAGGCTCCTGGTCATAGGCTGGCATCAGAGGAGCTGAGCAAGAGGAGGAAAATGGCATGGTTACATCCCTGTTAGTCAACTAAAACTCAACAAATGACCACTCATCACCCAGACATTCCAAATAACTTCACCTGACCAAGACCCAACCATGACCTAACCATGATCCAACAATGACCCATCAATGACCCAACAATGACCCATCAATGACCCAACCATGACCCAACCATGACCCAACAATGACCCATCAACAATCCAACCATGACCCATCAACGACCCAACCATGACCCATCAATGACCTAACCATGACCCAACCATGACCCAACAACCCACCTGCTCCTACATGATTTGCTAACAGAAAGCAGCAAAGCTGTGAACTCAGTCAATAAGCAATCAGAACAATCAGACTGTAGACTGGGGAACACGGATCATTGGTGTCTTTTTCCCCTCACTGGGCCCCTCCTTTTGGACATCTGTAATTGTGAGTTGGGGAACCAGTGACCAGGTTGAGGAGCTTTTACCTGAAATCTTGGTGGTAAACTGTGTGATGACCGGTGGGCCGAATCCTTTAACATTGGAGGCTCTTATTGTGAAGGAGTAGGTGGAGCCCGGGTAGAGGCCTGTAAACAAGTGGCTTGTCTCATTGGCTGGTTTGAACACCTTGCCGCTCTGATTGGWTAGGTCAAAGTCTGTGTCGAAGGAGCTCAGAGCTTTGTAGGAAATCTGGAGAAGGACAACATGCGTGTTTGATTCTGGGTAATGAATGCAACAACAAAAAAACAACAAAACAAAACTTCTACTGTGTAGTCAAAGACGTTTTGCTTTCCTTCCTGGAGAGTCTGGAGTTCTACGAGTTCAACTGGTAACCCTAACCACGTCACAACTGTAGCTCTTTTAAAATGAGTTGTTTTTAGAGTTGCATTAGAATCTATACCAGCATGTGGACAACAAGGTTCTTTACACTATATGCTTTAAATTTTTCATAGACTAATGGCATGTCATGTACTGGTAAGTAGATGACACATTACCCATGATCCTTGGCCTTTGACTCACCTCATACTGCCTGATCAGGCCGTAAGTCTGAAGCGGTTCCCTCCAGCTCAGACTTATCTGCTGCTCATAGCTGCTGCCGAGAATTGAGTCCAGGGGGACAGCACCTGGAACTGAAACCACAACATTCACCTTATTTAACCTGTAGACTCTAGGCTGATATAGACACACCTCAGGACACCTCAGAGACTCATACCATCCTCGTCTGTCAGCACACGCAGCTCTGAGCTCTCTTTACGACCCTCCGGGTTGCTCAGGAGAAGTTTGAGGCTGACATTGGTGAATGGAGGGAGGTTACGTACGATGTGCTGCGGCACAGTGCTCAGAGTGTCATACACCACCTCCTCCCAAACCTGCTCCTTCACTGGATCTCTGCAGGAGACACATTCAAGTTTACCTGTGAGTCCAGCCACCTGTTCCCTGCTGGACTCTCATGATGTCTCTACTTCCTGACTAAATCCTTTTTCTGTTGGCCATGCTCCGTCCCCCTTTTCATTATCAAAGCTGCCCACAAACTGGCCTTAAACTGGCCACACCCCATTCAAATTTACTAGCCCCTCCCCTTTGTTTTCAGCTCTGGCTTCTGTTCAACAACTGGTCCCACCTCCCTTCTCCTTCATTTAATAACCTTTGATCCCACCTCCCATGTAGCTACTGGCTCCTCCCCTTGTAAATTTTGAACCCCACTTACGTAAAATCGACATCAGGCAAAGGGTAGACGTCTCATTTCACTAGTTTTAAGCAGTCTACCCAGCCCAGCGAGGAAATGGCCCATGTGGTCCAGCTGGGCTACATGCTCATGAGGACCCAGCCCATGAATTGAGACACAGCTAGTGACTTCTCTTTTCCTTAGCCTTATATCCCACCTTGTGTTTACCAACTGGCACAGTTTTGGCTCCTCCCTTGTTTACCTGCTGTTACCCCCTGTAGGCCTGTAGCGGTACTGCAGCGTCAGGTTGTAGCTGTAGCAACGGGACACGTTGTATCCAAAAGGTTCCCATCGAACCGTCACCTGTTTGGACTGAATGTCGACGACCTGAAGGTTCCGTGGGCCGTGCATCGGGTCTGACAAACAAACAAGACAAGAATAAAAACAAAAGTCTAAACATCAGCTGTGGAGTGACTTCAGGTTGTTTTCATGTTCACCTGCTGAGTTCTGCAGAATCAGAATTAGATTTATTGTCATTCACACACAACATCAAAGATGCAATGCAGAAAAAAATAGCAGTTAAGAATACCCGTTCGAAGAAAGACACACATAACAAACAAGGGGGAAYGGATGGCATGGTCTTGCGCTACCTTTTTCAGCTTGGAAAATAAAACGCACAATGGGATAGATGAGTTTAAAAAAAGTTGCTCTGATCCTATATTTACTCATAAACACAGAATCATGCACAAAAAAACGACTCGCTAAACCAAGACAGCTAAGGAGGGGAGGGGGCTGGGGATCAAAAACATGGTATGGGGGTGGGAGTCAGTGGAGCCGGTGACAATTTACGTTAATACTCCGTGCTGGAGCCAATCCAAGACCAGGACCTGCCAGAGTCCAGAGACCAGATCTTATCCTCCCAAGCTCAGTCTCAGAGTTCAGGGTTTCCCCTTCCTCCCTCACAACAGCCTTCAGACTGATCSTCATGGATGATACAGGGATTGGGAGTGGGAGAATCAAGCCTTTGATGACATATCCATCCCGGGAAGTTTTGATTACTGCTGAGTGACCAAGGTCAGCAGCTGCTGGGATCCAAAATATAAACACAATTTTTTTAGGACAAGCGGCCTCAAATTTCTTGCCACTTTACAGTCTTAACTGCATCTCTAAAATGGCGAAAAAAATGCAGAATGTTCCGAATTCATCACCTTCTCGCCTCTTCCGTCTGAAGCTTCACCCAGATGTAATCCTACATCTCATGGGCACACTGCTGAACTGTGATTCTTGTCAGAATCATGTCCAGTTTGCGATTTATTTCCCCCAGTATCTGAGTCTGTATGTTAACAGTACGGGAGACACTTTCCATGGCTCCTGACAGCCTCTCACAGGCCCACACTGCTGTCAGAATCGCTTTCACTTTCTGATAAGCCAGAATTCCACCTCCGCCAATCRGCAGAAATCCAAGTATCATAAATACAAATATATACAAATTTTCCGTGTCTTTAGCGGAAAGCAGTGCCAAACAGATCAGATTCCAGCCCCAAGAACCACTGACCCGACTAGCTGCCACCATTCCATTGGTACAACTTCATTCCCCACGCTCCAATCTCAGTGTGGAAAAAATAGTGGGGATTGTGTTCAGAGACCAGTTGACCAAATCCATAATTTCTTTTGTTTTGGATGATAGATAAAAGAAAGGCTTGAAAAATCTGTGAAGCAGGGAAGGAGGGACAGGTTCGGGAGAGAGAGCAAAAAGCATCCGACTCCTCTGAAGGCCAAGTAGAAAAAAAAGAACTGATGGAAACAATAATTCACACTTAATTCTGAGCATTTACAGCCAAACTCTGAGCTATTTTAATTGTGATGATGGTTAAAGATGTCAGCTGAGAAAAAAAGACTTAATCTTTGCCTTCTAATAATCTGTCCATCTGAGATCTATACGTGCTTCTTCCTTTCAGGGTCACTGGTGTCCATACCCCAGCAGCCACAGTGTGAGGGGCGGGGGACACCCTGGACAGGGTTAGGTCCATCACAGGGACACATACAGACAGACAACCTTTCACTCTCTCACTCACACCTAGGGACAATTTAGAGTTAGTTACCAGTTAACCTAACAGTCATGTTTTTGGTCTGTGGGAGGAAAACGGAGTACCTGGAGAAAACCCATGCATGCACAGAGAGAACATGTAAACTCTACCCAGAAAGGTCCCTGGCTGGGATTCGATCCAGAAAACATCTTGCTGAGAGGCAACAGCTGTACCAACTGAGCCACTGTGTTGCCCTGTTCTAATAAGACAGGATCCGTTTTTTATGGGAACTTCTTTGATCTCATTATCTAAAACATTCATTAATAATAAGATCTGTAGAAATGGTGGCCGAGTCCGGTCACAACATGTACAGACTCTACAGGACACATCTGAGCTCAGCCTGGGCAACAGATTCAAACAGAATCCAATAACTGATAGACTCTTTACTATCAGGACCTGAAGCAGCTCAGGGTCCAGGTCCTGCTTCTGTAGAACTACACAGAACCAGGTCCTGCTTCTGTAGAACCACACAGAACCAGGTCCTGCTTCTGTAGAACCACACAGAACCAGGTCCTGCTTCTGTAGAACCACACAGAAC